TGTCCCACTCCATCTCCATATCCAATCAACACTCATCCTGCTGTCCCACTCCATATCCAACCAACACTCATCCTGCTGTCACATTCCATATCCAAACAACACTCATCCTCCTGTCACATTCCATATCCAAACACACTCATCCTCCTGTCCCACTCCATATCAAACCAACACTCATCCCACTGTCCCACTCCATATCCAACCAGCACTCATTCTGCTGTTCCACTCCATATCCAACCAACACTCATCCTGCTGTCACACTCCATATCCAACCAACACTCATCCTATTGTCCCACTCCATCTCCATATCCAATCAACACTCATCCTGCTGTCCCACTCCATATCCAACCAACACTCATCCTGCTGTCACATTCCATATCCAAACAACACTCATCCTCCTGTCACATTCCATATCCAAACAACACTCATCCTCCTGTCCCACTCCATATCAAACCAACACTCATCCCACTGTCCCACTCCATATCAAACAAACACTCATCCTACTAACCAACTCCATATCCAACCAACACTCATCCTACTGTCCCACTCCATATCCAACCCACACTCATCCTGCTGTCCCACTCCATATCCACCCAACACTCATCCTACTGTCCCACTCCATATCCAACCCACACTCATCCTGCTGTCCCACTCCATCTCCATCTCAAACCAACACTCATCCTCCTGTCCCACTCCATATCAAACCAACACTCATCCTACTGTCCCACTCCATCTCCAATCAACACTCATCCTGCTGTCCCACTCCATATCCAACCAACACTCATCCTGCTGTTCCACTCCATATCCAACCAACACTCATCCTGCTGACCAACTCCATCTCCAATCAACACTCATCCTGCTGTCCCACCCCATATCCAACCAACACTCATTCTGCTGTCCCACTCCATCTCCATATAAAACCAACACTCATCCTACTGTCCCACTCCATCTCCAATCAACACTCATCCTGCTGTCCCACCCTATATCCAACCGACACTCATTTTGCTGTCCCACTCCATCTCCATATAAAACCAACACTCATCCTACTGTCCCACTCCATCTCCAATCAACACTCATCCTGCTGTCCCACCCCATATCCAACAAACACTCATCCTGCTGTCCCACTCCATCTCCATATAAAACCAACACTCATCCTGCTGACCCACTCCATATCCAACCAACACTCATCCTACTGTCCCACTCCATATCCAACCAACACTCATCCTACTGCCCCACTCCATATCCAACCAACACTCATCCTACTAACCCACTCCATATCCAACCAACACTCATCCTGCTGTCCCTCTCCATATCAAACAAACACTAATCATGTTTTGCCACTCCATATCTTACCAATACTTATCTTATTGTCCCACTCCATATCCAACCACCACTTATATTAATCCTGCTGTCCCACTCCATATCCTTTCAACACTAATCCTACTGTCCTCCATATCCATCAACCACTTTTCCCGTTGTTCCACTCCATATCCATCAACCACTAATCATGTTTTCAGATTCCATACCTAACCAATACCTTTATTTTTGTCCCACTCCATATCCAACCACCACTAATCCTGCTGTCCCACTCCTTATCTATCAGCCACTTGTCATGTCGTCCTACTCCATATCCGTCAACCATTTTTCCTGTTGTTCCACTCCATATCCAACCACAACAAATATTGTGGTTTCATTTGATCCAGCCAATGCCAATCCTGATGTTCAACCAGCTCTAAAAAGATCCCTATATCAAATACACTTGTCTTGTTATCCAGCCACCACTAATACTGTTGTCTCACTTTGTATCCAACCACCACTTATCATTGTGTTCCACTCCTTATCTAACCTCCACTAAAGATGATGCATCACTATATCTAGGAATCACTAATCCCGATTCTCCACTGTCCAGCCATCACTTAAAATGTTGTTCTACTATCAAACCACTATGAATCCAGTTATAGCACTATCTGGCTACCATTTATCCTGTTGTCTCAATATCTTAACACCAGTTATATTGTACCTTTATCCAGTCGTCGTTTGTGGAGTAGGTTAAGCTTTTTTTGTTTAATTAAATCCTAGTAATCCAGCCACTGTAGCTGGAAACCAATGATAAGAAAGTTGTCTCTGTTTGGAATTAGGGAAATGTACTCTAGATTTTTAGCTCACCTGGTCTGAAGGACCAAGGTGAGCTTATGCCATACCGTGGCGTCCGTCGTCTGTCATCCGTCCGTACGTCAACAATTTCTTTAAACGACATCTTCTTAACCACTGATTGGAATTCAACTAAATTTGACTGGAAGCATCCTTAGGTGGTGCGGATTCAAAATTGTACAAATGGTTGGGCTGACCCCTCAGGGGGCTGAGGGGCAGGGCCAAAAGGGGTCAATTTGGCTATATTGCTTTAAGCGACCTCTCTTCTGGAACTAAGAGATGGATATCAACCATATTTGACTGGAAGCATCCCTAGGTAGTGGGGATTCAAAATGGTACAAATGGAGGGGCTGACCCCCCAGGGGGCTGAGGGGTGGGGCCAAAAGGGGGCAATTTGGCTATATTGCTATAAACTACTTCTTCTGTAGAACTATGCTATGGATATCGATCATATTTGGTGGGAAGCATTCATGGGAGGCAGAAATTCAAAAGTGTACAAATGGTGTGGCTGACCCCCTAGGGGGCTGAGGGGGGCTGAGGGGGGCTGAGGGGGGCAATTTGGCTATATTGCTACAAACGACTTCTTCTGTAGAACTATTCACTGGATATCAATCATATTTGATTAAAAGCATTTATGAGAGGTAGAGATTCAAAATTGTACAAATGGTGTGGCTGACCCCACAGGGGGCTGAGCCGAAAAAGGTTATTTGGCTATACTGCTTTAAGCTACTTCTTCTCTGGAACTAAGTGATGGATATCAACCATATTTGACTGGAACCATCCCTTGGTAGTGGGGATTCAAAATTGTACAAATGGAGGGGCTGACCGCCCAGGGGGCTGAGGGGCGGGGGCAATTTTGCTATAAACTACTTCTTCTGTAGAACTATGCCATGGATATCGATCATATTTGGTGGGAAGCATTCATGGGAGGCAGAAATTCAAAATTGTACAAATGGTGTGGCTGACCCCCTAGGGGGATGAGGGGGCCAAAAGGGGTCAATTTGATTATATTGCTTTAAGCGACTTCTCCTCTGGAACTAAGAGATGGATATCAACCATATTTGACTGGAAGCATCCCTAGGTAGTGGGGATTCAAAATGGTACAAATGGAGGGGCTGACCACCAGGGGGCTGAGCGGCAGGGCCAAAAGGGGGCAATTTTGCTATATTGCTACAAATGACTTCTTCTGTAGAACTATGCACTGGATACCAATCATATTTGATCAAAAGCATTCATGGGAGGCAGGGATTCAAAATTGTACAAATGGTGTCGCTGATCCCTAAGAGGGGCTGGGGCCAAAAAGGGTATTTGGCTATGTTGCTTTAAGCGACTTCTTCTCTGGCACTAAGTGATAGATATCAACTATACTTGACTGGAATCATCCCTAAGTGGTGGAGATTCAAAATAAATACAAATGCTGGGCATGAAAAATCTAATACAGATATGCTACAAAGATTGGCCTTGGGGTCTGGCATATTCCCTTGCCCTTGGATCTCATTTAGAGAATATTTCGCCATGCTTTCTTAAGATATCAAGGTGAGCGATACAGGCCCTCTGGGCCTCTTGTTTAATAAACAAGGAAATAATTTAACCATGATAGAAAAACAAATTCATAATACAGCCCCTTCACATTTGTAATAAATGATAGTTACTTTCATTGTTATCTAATTTCATTACATTTTTTACAACTGAGATTATCCTGTCATGTGTTCTACCTTCAGTCTGCACGGAAACCTTTGGAGTCCGAGCATGGGGATCCTTTCACTCTACTAAATGCTTTTGATGAATGGATACAGGTAGGTAAACATAATTATTTCAAATGGTTTCAATTTTGATAGGAATTCAAAGTTTCTTTCTAAAGAAAGAAACTTCGAATTCCTATCAAAATTGAAACCATATAACAAAAATAACAATATAAAACATTTATATAGCACCGTATATAATTTGTGAAATTACTCTAAAGCACTTTACAACATATGGATAATAGTATTAGTTATAAATGATAAACAAAAAAAGCATACAAAATCTCAATCTCAATATGCATATAAATGAATATATAAAGGGTGGTGTGTACATGACATCTGTGCAGAGAGCCTAAAATGCAGGCATGAAGAGGTGGGTCGTTATATCCTTCTTGAATTTGGTAAGGGTCTCTAGAAATTCTAAAAGCAGATGGTAAACTTTTCCACAACGTGGCTGAAACTGTCCAAACCATTTTCCATCGGTCACAGTACGAGATTTTGAGGTACACAACAATGAGTTTGTCCCGGATCACAGTAATTGTGACAGCTGATACAGGGCAGGATTTTGGCAATAGCGTTCACTTGTTTCTCCATATTCAGTGAACTGTCCAACTACCACTAGGTTTTTAACAGCTGGAAGTCTCAATAGTTCTGCCACCAACCTTGAGCTCGAAAGCCATTGTTTGCAGACACTTTGGGGTAAAGGTCCGTCTTTTCCCATCACCGACCCTTGCAGAGCCCCCAAATAAGACTATTTTCAGCATAGTGCGTCACCAGTCACCCCATAAGAGTACTTTAGACGTTTGTAAATTATGCCATTGTTGATGACATCAAATGCAGCCGACTAGTCCAGCATGACAAGCACCACTCTGCATATGTTATCCAATGCAGAAGTATGACAAGCACCGCTCTGCACATGTTATCCAATGCAGAAGTAATTAATTGGAGGTTGTCATGGAGACTGTTTGCACGGAGATGAACCTCTAAACGCCGGGACATAACAATGCTCTCCAAGATCTTTTAAATAAAGACAGAAAAAGTAGATTTCTTCAGCATTGATCTAACATGTGTCTACTTGAAACACAATAGAACCTTTGACTCGGCCAATGATTTGTTCATGATTGAGGTAATCAAAGGGAGCAGTGTTTCAAGACACTGCTTTAATAGGTCTGTAGGAAGTGGATCAAGCTCGCAGGACTTCCAACGCAAGATCATGATGATATCGCCAAACTCGTCCTCGGTTGTTGGTGAAAGTTTTGTCAATGATTCCCCATCAAATTTAATGTCATAAGTCATGACAGAGGTATCATTGTCAGCAGTAGAGTTCACTTCGACAATATTTTTCCTGATCGTGCTGATTTTATTCAGAAAGTAATCACTGAACTTGTTTGACAAGTCTTTTTCAGAAGATTAGGTTTTGGCGAGTCTAAAGAGCTGCCTATGGTCCTTACCACATTCTTCAACTCTTTCCGAACAATAAACCTTCCTGGATTGAATGAGAAGTGATCCATCTGAATGAGTCTAATACCAGTAGGCTCTTCTGGCGAGTGTTGGGTCTCTTCCCCCATACGATGCGCAGCCATTCTTTCATAGTCGGTTCGCTTATCCATCCTTTCTCGTGGACACAAACAATCACTCCCTTTGGAAAGTTCCCAGGTGGCAGGGCTTTCTCTTAAAAATGGCATAAGGTGTAAGTTTGGTCCTGTCAGCCATACACACAAGCATCACCGTGAACCTGTTCTTCTCATTTCTTGTCGTTCGTATGGAGATGGACTTGCTATTGGTCGGGGCAGTTGTAGTGTCTGAAGGAAGATCAAAAGTGAGAGGTGTTTGGTCAGCATTCCCGTTTCTAGACGGGTCAATGTTGTATTTCTCTCTCATTTTGATGACGAATCGCTGAAACTGTACAATTTTCTCTTCGTAATTGTCTGGTAGTCTCTGGGCGATGGGCGTTCTCCTCTGGATACCAAGCATGCGTCTGCGCAGAAATCGGACCGCCTATCCCATTGACGCTTTAAAGTTGGTGACCTTGTGAACTCGCTGTATCTGCATGGTGCGCAGGCGCAGTTCGGTGGTACTAATGGCGATGGCTGTTCTTCTTCCATCTCTGGGTGTTGGGTGGTCGCACCTCTTTCGGCCTTTCTGGTCAGTGGCAGAGAGATTTTTTTCTTCTTCCATGCTGTAGTCAATGGCTTCTAGTTTCTCTTTTTCTGTAAAGACTGTTTGCTGCTTTCCCCATGTCGTCGATGTAGGCAATCTATCATTGAGTACCTTCAGATACCGCGGTGGGTAAAGATACCATGAAAGATCATACCAGTACTGAACAAATTACCTACTTATATGGGGACGAAGTAGGATTGAACATTTTCAGACTGTTAAAACAACATCATTTTCTGGCCAATAACAAGTGTTCAGCCCACGCCGGGTGTCAGCATATTTCCTCGTACTCATATATAGTGTTGCTTGTTTAATGACCGGTAATTATCCAATTAGCCTAGACTAAGACTTTCATGTTTGCTAATTTCTGTCAGTTGCTTGTGTGAATATGTTTATATAGGTAATTCAAGGTGTTAGGGTCACGCTCATTGAAGTCTAATGATTGATTGCTCAAAACATCAATCTGTTGTAATCAAAATATATAAATCATTAATTAATCAGCATTATAGAAATTTAGAATTAGTTAATTAATCGGCATTATAAACACCAAGCTCCCTTTGATTGCTACTTTTCCTGTTTGATAATTTTCAGGATCCCCCCCCCCCCCCCCCCCCCCC